CCCGACCCCAAACCCCACCGACCCCATAACTGACCCTTCTCTCCTGCTGCCACCACTCTCCACCATCCAACAGTGGCTTCAGGGTCAGGGTCATTGTATTCCCAGGCTAAAGTCAATTTGAGGGCCATTCACATGCCCGAGGACTGGAAATCACCATTATTCTCTGTTTAAAACAATGCCTCTAAAAGACTTATTAAATAAAGTGCAAAGGTTAGATTACTATCTGATTATTATAGTGCCATTCATTAGACAGCTAATTTTTAGTAGAGGAAAAGGACCTAATTTGTTAAGCTTTGATAAGGTAGATGGGAGGGTAGGAATAAAAGTGATTAACTGGGAAAGGCATCAGGGTCTAAGCAGGGTGGCAACTGTTCCGGGGCTAGAGGGAGCCAGGACCATCAGAAGGGCAAATGACTTCACCTCTTCAGGTTCGGTTGCCTCCTCTACAACTAAAGATATTAATAGCACCACGACATAAGATAATCTATGTAATGTATTTGGCATTATGCCTGGCTTGTAAGAGCTGAAAAAATGTTAGCTGAGATATTGTTGAAGTTAATAATAATAATAATCATTATTAGCAGTAGTAATAGTAATAACAGTACACTGTACCCTAAGAAGGGTTGGGTTAAGTGGAATCAAAACAATGATTCCATGAGAGGGTAGGGAATTAAATAGCAAAGCAGGGAAAGCGGCGTCAATACCGATCCTCGGCTATGTCATAACTGCCTGGGATTAGCTACCGGGGAAACATCCTGGCAGAGTGATTTTAGAGCCAAACACACAGGGACTCAAATCTTGGCTCTGTCACTTGAAAATGTGTGACTTTAGGGAAGTTACCATGTTTCCCAGAGTCTCAGTGTTTTTATTTGTGAAATGAGAATAATAGTCATACCTGTATGAAGGTTATACAAATAACATCTATGGAACACACATAATGTACCCAGTGCCCAGCAAATATGTCCCCCCCTGCACCTGGCCAAGCTCTTTCTCCTTCACACTATGGTTGGCAGACTGCAAAATGAAGACTCCATCTGCATGGGTGAGAAATGTGAGAATTAGCATTGTGGGCTCTTTGTTAAGAGAAGAAAGATACCACTAGCTCCCTTCCACCCTCCTCCCACTGGGGGAGCTGATGGAATGTACAGTCGGGCTGCTAAATGTTAGAGCTCGCACCCATATTTAGGTACAGCATGTAGTGGAATGATTCCGAATTCACTGGAAGGTGCTACCGCAAAATGGAAATCATCCAGTAAAAAGGAGCACAAAAATAGGTTTTCGTGGAAATTTAACTCTGAACATTCTGGTTTTGTACCTTAACATAAGTAAAATATGAGTATATTTTTTCTGCCAAAAAATTTAAGATAATTTTTTAAAAAGCTATAAATCTAATGACCACAAATATCTTTCCATCATCACTCCAAGATATTTATTATTGGATCTGAGTTATAGGAAAGATAAACCATCCATGATAGTCTAAATAAGTTTAGGACCTTCTCCATTTTGAATGTTACTTTCCTTGAAGAAAATCTAATCGCATTGAAGAAGAATCTTCAAAATCACCACATTTCTATTCTCAACATTATTGCTTTAATGTCTTGTCTTTTTCTTTTTCTAAATTCACAGAATCTACTTCCTTTCATACATTTCCATCTTAGTCCTAAGACTTTGATTTCTTTAGGTGTTTTGAAGGAAAATTAATAAGAATTTTGACATTTTAAGTACACTTTCAAAAGCTCTCCTTTTGATTTATAAAACTATTCCTGACACTGATATGCAGTCATATGTCATTAGTTACTTAAATGTTTTCTATAATTATGTAAATTATGTTGACAGTTTCTGGTAGGGCGCTTACACTTTACTGTTCTGTCACTTGCAAAGTTCTGAAATGTATCAGATAACCATTTTCAAATCACACAGCTGTTAACGGGTTCTTGCTGACTTGTTGCTTTCTTTGCCTGTAATGCTGAGTACACTGTTTGCACCAGAGGTTCTTAAGTAAGTATATCCTCTCTTTTGTCTCCCCATAGACTTTTGTTTTCTGTCTTAATGATGACCAACTTATGGTCATTGACTTCGTGGAGCCCATGGTCAGATGGAAGGAAATGTGGTCAGGCGCAGATCTATAGATTATCACAATAGGACATGGAAGATGAGGTTAGAATAAAGGTATGAATAGCAGCAGTGGTAGAGGACAGAACAGCTAACTTCCCAGATGAGCCAAAAAAGCTCCACAAATGAAGGGATCGTGGATCTGGGTCTTGAAATTTCAGTACAAGTTTGATGAGTGAAGAAGTGGGGAGGAAAACCTCCCAGGAAGATGCACAGATGGAGGCATGGCTGGGAAAGATGAGGAGCTGTGGGTGCCTAGGCTATGGGATGCAGGAACCCAGGCACTGGCCAACGAGACTGGAGGCCTGGGACACACTGGGAACCATTTCTGAAGGTCTTGAAAGCCACACCAGAGAAGAAAAAACTGTCTTTTTTTTCTATAAAAGAAGTGATGGGATCCAAAACTTCAGAACATAACCAACATGGTATGAAGGACAGACAGTACTTATCCTCTTTGCTCTAAGCAGCCTGGGGTGATAATTCTTTCAAAACCACAGAAGGAAAAATGATCTTCCTCCATCCCAATTATGCTTTGTTCAAACAGAAAAGCATTCAGTCGTTGCTGGGTGGCTCACGAGGGTATGAGAAAGATAACTACAATGTTCCAAGCAATTTCCAGAGGCATTTGAAGAAGACATTGTGATAGATATGGCAGATCCCCCACTTAACAACCCAGAACCCCAAGAAGGGCTGTGGCCTACCACACTGATGCACAGTGATGTGTTCCCGCCGTGCTCTGCTATATCCAGCATGGGGACCTGATCCCCTACACCTCTGCCATAGCCTTACGTGAGGACACGGTCTGCCACCTCTGATGAATCTACACGTGGGGGCATGGCCCATCAAGCTTCTGCCATATCCAGGTTTTAGGGTGGTGTCAGTCCATTTTGTCTTGCTATAAAGGAATACCTGAGACGAGGTGATTTATAAAGAAAAAAATGCTTATTTGGCTCACGATTCTGATGTCTGGAAAAGTTCAAGATTAAGCATCTTATGATGGCCTCAGGCTGTTTCTGCTCACAGTGGAAGGTGAAGGGGTACCAGCTCGTGTAGACACCACATGGCGAGAGAGGAAGCAAGAGAGAGGGGGAGGAGCCAGGCTCTTTTTAACAACCAGCTCTCTGGGAACTTTTGTGGGAACTAACAGAGCAAGAACACACTCAGCCCCTCCACTCCAGGGAGGGCATTAATCTATTCATGAGAGATCCACCCCCATGACCCAAACACCTCCTTTAGGCCCCAGGGCCTCCAACACTGGGGATCAAATTTCACCATGAGGTTTGGAGGGGTCAACTATCCAAACAATAGCAAGTGGGCATGGCCTACCTGACCTATGCCTCCTGTAAGCACTGAGCCCTGAGTGAGTAGTTGTTCTCAGACCCACAACTGACAATGGGGTTACAGAAATAGTCACAAAAAAGTGGTGGTGGTGGCAATTGTTAACAGGGGGTGAAGGGAGGTGTCTAACTCAAGTTTTAGTTGAGATCATGGTGAAAGATGTTGATGAAGGAACAATGACAGAGAGAAAGCTTTAAAAATGGATTAAGTCATAAATGGATGAATATGTGAATAAATGTATAATAAATTATGAGTTAGGTGAGAGAAGTAAATAGAAGATTCAAAATAAGAAAGGGAAATACCAGAGAGAGAATATTTTTAAAACTAAGGAAGAAAAATCAAGCAAACAGGAAGACAAATCAGAGAAAGAGATAACATGAAGTAGTAAACAATGAATGATCCATATATATATTTTTTCATTCCCTCAACAAGCTGTTTATCTTCCCCACCTGCTTTTGAATATTCTTGGGGAGTAGTGTTGGGTAGAGGACGAAGTCAGAACCTGAGCCCCTAAAGAGATTAGCTTCTCCTTTTCAGTCTACTCAAACCACTTGCTTACGTCTTTAGGGTTTTATCTTGGGGAAACCTAACCCATGTGATAAAGCGCTAACAATTAGTTTAAAGACACATCTGTCTATGTTTCATGGCCTCATCCTGGGAATGGGAATGGGGGTGGAGGTAGAAAATCACATTTTCTAAATCTTAAGGAAACACAGAGTATAAAGTTTGTCATAAGTAAAAGTTTCCAAAATTATTTTGGCCATGAACTTTACCAGACACTCCATGGAACTAGCTCCTGTCACTAGTTTAAGATCATCCTGGTTACATAGTTTCAGGAGACAGATTTCCCATGGATGCTATAGGGCTTCGGACAGACCTAGGGAGCCAGATGTATTTAGAATGGGTTTTGAACATCTTTGTCCAGAAATAAAGGAGCCCAGCAGACACTTTCCTTCCTCTCTTGATTGCACAGGCCAGCAGGGAGGTCCACGATTAGTATTCGGGCAACCTATTCATCAGCACCACACTGGAGCAATCGAGTTAAACAGCAGTTACTTCTCCTCAAGACACAATGCAAACAACCTTCCTGCTCAGCCCTAGGAACACACAAGCGCGCAGAGGAACAAAGGGAGAGCCCACAGCCAAACACCACTGGGAAGAAAATGAGGCCGTAATGCACCAGTCCCCTCAGTATGGGTACACAGGGGCGGCCCTCTAATAACACCCCATGCAGGCATCCCTGTGCTGCCAGGCCACCCAACCGCATCCAACAAGAGGCACCACAGACTCCGAGAGCTGCTAACATACCAACCCCCTTATTTGCAGCGCAGGGCATACTTATGACAACTTTTCACAAATCAGAAGGCCAACGTGAAATAATATTATGCCAGTAGGGAAGCTGATTTCTGCTCCCATGTCCCAGTACAAAGAAACACAAGAAAGAACTGCCGATTGTAAAGATTTAGAAAATTATCAGGTACATGAGAACTTTGAGTATGGCTCAGAACAGGATCGAGAGAAAGATGGGAGGTTACAAATGGGCCTCTTACCTTTTTGTCGCTCAGGCCAGAAACCTGGTCCACGTATTCCTCTTGGATCATGAAGGCAGCTAAGTTGGCAGTGTAGCTGGCCAGGAAGATGACAGCAAAGAAGGCCCACACCGACACCATGATCTTGGAGGTGGTACCCTTTGGGTTCTGCACGGGAACGGAGTTGTTAAACACCAGGCCCCAGAGCAGCCAAATAGCTTTGCCGATGGTGAAAGACGGGCCACCTGGCTCTGGCAGGACAAAAAGACAAGGACAGAAGTCAAGTCAGAGTCAGTGGCTCTACTGAAGCTTACAAACACACAGAACTGGTAGGTCCCTGCTCAGAGCACGAAACCCTTCAACTGAAACCGAGCCCTTTTATAGTCAGCTTTTTAATTTAAGAGCCTGTATCTCTCCTCTCTTGGGACTCTAAGGCGGTCGGAAGAGAGTTCCTTAGGAGAGAAACCAGGATGTGTGTAGGATCTTTCTCCAACTGATGGCCACGACTCAGTCTGGGCCCTGGAGGAGCCACCTTCCTGCCCCCACATACAAGACGCTCAAGATCATGTCAAAACTGAATAACAAAGGCCAACTATCACACTAGGTCATGCTTGGGTCATTACTACCATTTTTCCTAAATTTTGTCATTGTATCTACCAAGAAAGCATTTTAACTTCCACAAATGTCAGCAAGAATTGTGTAAGGCCTTTTTCTCCCACTGTCATAAACCTCCTCCAAGTCTATTCACAATGATGCTGGATGGCTTTTAATGTACTCTCTCCTGATTTTTCTTTAACTTCTAGCACTTAGCACTCACTGTTTCATAGACAACCCTGACTCTACTCTAAAGCCCACACTCCCCAACTGGTTTCCTACAGCAGTAGCTTCTATGTAAAAGAATTTCAGGAAGCCCAGAGAGGCAGTCATAGACTCCGGGCCTGGCCACACGTATCTGAGGGTGGAAAGTCAGCTAGCTGTCTTTGACTTCAACTCCCCTCCACCCAACCTTTGCACAGATAGTGCAGGGGCTTCTGCCCCTGAATGTATTGTGACCTCACTGCTATCTCTGCTTGGTGGTAGTAAAATCTTGCCTATTGTTTGGTTTTCCCCATAGCCCCTCCACTGCAGAAATGAACATCTGCCTGCACAGTTTTACAATATATTAGCACAGGTCTTATGATGTTATCTGTGAGCCTCATCGCATCTGCTCAGCCAACTAAATCATCCGGGACTACACATGTCGGACCTGATATCTAACTGTGCACACACATCTGTGCATGTAGACCTTATTTCATGCAACAGATGTGTCACTGAAAAGTTATGTATAAATCAAAGTTTTATAAATTGTAAAATGCTCTAAGGGGACTTGATATTTAAAGTGTTCCCATGTCGAATTCCTTTGTGAAGACAAACATCCTTTGGTAAAGTGAGTAATTGTAAGTCCCTGCTCTGAGCTTTGTAAATCTTGATTTTTCACCTCCTGGATGTTCAAGGATCGGGGGTGGTGGTGGTCGGGGGTAGTACACACTAACTTGACATTGTCAACCTATGTATGTCCTCAGGTGATTCCCAGATGTTCCACTTCTTCCTGGTGTCCCTCAGGCTGGGATATAGGTCAGGGCTTCTGGACGTCCCTTTGGCACAGGGGCTTTGAAAGCCTCTGACTATACCGTACTGTGGAGACATCCAGAGAATTCCACCCCAGAATACACAAACCAAATAAAAAGGTAGAGCTACACTTGGAAATACTTCAGTAAAATAGTGGTTCACAGTCTGGACTGTGACTTCAACAGAAGGATGAGGGGAGCTTTCACCAAATACTGCTCCCAGCATCCCACCCCCGGAGATTCTTACTGAATTGGTGTAGAGTGGGGTTGGTTATTTTAACACGCGACCAAGGCAGAGAATCACCATTTTGAAGCACACAGTGGTCCAAGATTTAGACTTAGTGAATCAGAAAATGGGGTCCAAGCACCTTTATCTTGTTGGTGGCCTACAGATAATTTGTACGTGCAGCCAGGGTTAAGAAATTTTCCTCTTGGAGGTAAAATGCCAGGATAGAGCTTACATTCTAGAAAGGAGAAGACTTAGAGAAGGTGGAATATTTCTTAATCCTGGAGTTCTCAGGAAATTTTGGAGGAGCTATTTATAAGGATCTCGTGGCCCTGTTCAGAAATCTAGTGAACTTTTAAAAAGTGTCATAAACACCTCAAACGCATGGGCATCCCTCACATCTCTGGGCCTACCCATCTGGGAAATTGGACCACCTCCAATAGCAGTTATCGGTGAGAATTGGTCTCCACTATTTTATTTCAAACACCCAAACTTTTATACTTTCTGGCAAGGGAGCTAGCCTAGGGGCATATGCTTTGGAGGTCTTGTACCTCAGTTGTAATCCTTTGGCCCTGGGAATTCTACCAGCTACAACCACCTGCATATACCTTGGGGCAACCTATTTTTCCTTATTCTTAACATATGTGTACAATCTGCCTTGGCAGTCACATCTGTTCCAACAGACTGCCCACAGCCTAAGGTTATCGAAATGGTTTCCTGTGACATGTTCACGCTACCCATGTCTACTACCTGTCTTTCCTTTCCTTTCCTTAGGGGTGGAACTGGGCTTAGGGCTAGGTGTGAACCAGAGAGGGGACATACAGATCTAAACTCACATCTTAATTGGAATATTTGTAAAAAATCCTATCAAGCTGGTGACCTAGAAAGCTGAGGGTTCCTTTTAAGAAATGGATAAATTAGAGAGGATAGAAATAACAAATCAGGGCTACAGAGATTTGAAATTAAGAACTAGAAAAAAATACAGAAGGCAGAAGTTCCCGCCGGCCTTACCTCTGCCATCAGCGAGGCACCTGTTATAACCCACAGGGCTGAAGTACTCGAAGACGAAGACAGCCACGGCCGAGACAATGAGCAGCATCACAAACATCATCACCCACACGTCAGCGCTGAACGGCTCTGGGGATGGAGAGAACACAGCACAGGCAGGGTTAAAACAGAGGACAAACAAATTCCAATTAATTCACATATTTATGTGCTCATGCGGACACATATTTTGCAGGGTGGGAACAAACCACAAGTATGTTACATGCCTTCGGGAGCCAGAGCCTGGGTTGGGAGAAGTAAGAGACTGCCTAAGCAGCTGTCTGGCCCTAAGAAGCAAGTCAAAGTGTTTTTTCCTTTCAGATATATGAGGAGGACAGCCTCATGCCCATGACCTCTTTAGGTTGTACAGACAGTTTCTGCCATTATTAGACCAATACTTGGGTCTCTCAGTAAATGGTGTAATTGGAAGAAGTATCAGATATGGAGCCAGCGAGTTGTATTGGACTGACTTGTGTTCCCATCTGTGTGGCCACACCACACAGAGGGGCCTGGAAAAGCCTTTTCCAATACTTGTGAGTCTTGCAGACACATTCATTCTCAACAGACTTACCTATTATTTCAGAGCTGAACTGGTTCAGTAACAATTATGTACAATGAATAACCAACCCCCTTGCCTCTTTGTATCACTTCTCTTAAACTGCCCCACCTAGGTTGGTTTTTTCCAACCCAATTTGATAGGGTAGATTTTACTAGACATCACTAGGGTATGAGAATATAAGTCAATATTAAAAAATCAGTATATTGATATTGAATATCAGTATCTGCAACAGCAGGAATTTAACAGATGCCAAGGAAACATGCATAAGAACAACTACAATCTGTCCCCTATTACCAGGTGATAGGGTTGATGGGACAAGACCAGATAGCAAGAATATTCTACACATGCTTACTTTAATATCTTTAATCATTTTTGCTGAATCCCTTCCAGTTAAGCTAAATATCTCTCTGGTTTGGAAGTGTCCAGAAATTGGACGATATATTCCAGAAGCCATGATACAATGCTTCCCCAACTGTGTCTCAAAATAGTTCTGGCCTTTTTAGCTGTCACAGCACATTGTAAACTCAAAACTAAGTGAATTAACATGCTGTTTTTGCTCTCTTCCAAATCATTAATAAAGATGAATTCAAAAAAATGGGAAAAATTGGCTGAATATTAGAAAATATATTTCTTACTCTGAAACCTACTTTATTATTGAACTCCCAGAGGAATTACAGAAGCCTGGTCACTTAATCAATTTAAAAAAGGTCTTGAAATAGCCCCAGAGCTGAACACACCAAGTGTGAAATGCAAAATCTTTCAGTGGCAGCCAGAGAGGCGAGGGTAGAAGGTACAATTCAAAACCTCTGCACAGCGGTGTGGAGACGTTTTTCTCCACACCCTTGACTCTAATTGCTTGCAGTTCTACCCTGATTTCACTTTTGTCTAAGATTGGGGACTGAGTAAAAGCGTCAGTTCTATAGTGTCTTTCCCCCCAAGAAACCCAGGGAAACTTTCCATATACAAAATTCAACAGACATCTATATTGGTCTTTACAATTTACAAAGTACTTTCATCACACGCTATATACAATCCTTCTAATGGCCCTTTCCTTATGGGATGACTGTAACTATTTTACGGAGGTGTAGACTGGACCGAAAGTTCAAGTTCCTTTCCAAATTCATACTCAGAAAGTGGTAGGGTCAGGTTATGAACTGAGATCTTCTGAGGCAAAACAGTCTGTGCTTCTCCCATTGTATTATGTTGCATCTTCATCTCTGCCCATCACGATGGCTCCCGGCTTAGGGGTTGAACCCTGAAATGGCCTCATGTGTACTAGAACACAGTCTCTGAAGGCTACCATAGCTGGAGTTTAATCCTAGAGCTTCCAGTTACCATGGAAAATGGCTTAACATGTCTAAGATTCAGTTTCCTGAGCTATAAAATGTGTATAATAACAGTATCAATGAGTTAACATAAACGAAAGATATATAATAATGCCTGGCAATTCTCATGGTAGGTGTTCAAGAAATGTTGGCTTCTATTATCGCTATAACTAACTAACTGCTCCTCCTTTGAACATACACACAAACACACCCTGCCTGGCATTTCTATGTCATTCCAGGGCTATACTCATGTACTCATGTATGGCTCGTCTAGTTCAGAAGTTAAGGTTAGTGCTATACTGACAGGATTAGAATAGAATGTAGTTTTCTTTGTATCTCCTCATCTTCCAATTATCCTCATAAAGGAAAAAACAAAAGCAAATAAATTACATATGGCAGCTATGAGGATTCATGCATATAATGTGTGCTATCTAATAACATTTCACCTAAAATTGACAAGGCTAGAATTTGCTTCACTGTGAGTAAGAAGATTAGCTAAGAAACTTGAGTAATTTATAGAAAAATTCTATGGAACCTATAACTCCACTTTGTAGTGCATTAATTGAATCAATTCCCTCTGAATAAAACTTAAAGAGATGTTAGCCAAGGTCTACTCCAATATCCACATTTAAAAAATGCCGATGTCCCTTAGAGAGATTGTGACTTGTCTAAGGGTTTATAGCTGGTTTGTGACCAAACCAGGCTTCTTGTCTCCTAGCCCAGTGTTCTATTTTCAAGGTGACATTTTATTTTCCAACCCCTTGCTCTGTGGCCCCTGCAAAAATTATGGGATATGAGCTCACAAAAGACCTCATCTAATTGAAATCTTGGCCTCATCTCACCTGGTCTTATATCACATCTGAAGCTTTTGACATTTAAGTGATGCTGGAGAGTGGGGAAGGGGAGAAGGGCATGGGCAGCGGAGGGGTGTGGTGGGGTGGGAGAAAGAATAAGATCAGTGCGATCTGGCAAAGTCTCTGAAAATTCATGTGAAAACAGGAAAGTTTTGGTAGCAGTGAGCTCAATTCTTGAAGATAATTAAAAATAAATAGATATTTCAATAATAGCCAGAATTAGAAATTATTACAGCAGGAAGCAGCCTCGGAGATCAGCCAGGTGAAATACCTTCTGATGAGGATGAGGAAACTGAGCCCCACGGTGGAGCGAATCCACTCAAGGTCAAGTGCTGACAAACGGGACTGCAGGAGGCTCTCTGATTACCAGCCCAGCACTGTTTCCTTCCTATGTTTCTGGGTGTTCTTCGGTTTGCACATTTGAGAATAATCAACTTTGAAGTCCCTTCCCACCCCAAGTGAAGTCCCTGGCTGAGTAAGATCCTACCAAATCACCTTCTAGCTGAAAGAGCTTGGCCATGTGCTCCTAACAGCTGTTCCTCATTCCCACTCCCCATCCTGATGGCCATTTCTTTCCACAGCAAACACAACACTTACCTAAGAAGGCAGAAGGTGAGACAGTCCCATTGCTGCGTGACACCATGACACTGATGCCAGTCTCTATGAAGGGCACAGAGAAGTCCACCACCTCTGATCGCTCCTCGTTGATAGTGAGTGACCCTACTGCCATGTAGGCCCTCTTCATGACCACCTGCAGAGAAGGGTGCAAGGCTCCAGTCAGAACATTCAGGAAGGCAAGGGGCCACCACGAGGAAAGCAATCATGGCCCAGCAGTGGTTTCCTTTGTGCAGTGGGAACAGTACGTCCTACTTGCTATTTTATATTTTCTAAAATTCATATAATGAGCATGAATTTAAAAAATATTTAGATGAAACACAAGTAATGAAAAGTGGAGATGTGCCTTAATTCCTGACACTCACCTCTCCGATCATGCCATTCCAGGTCCCATTGATTTTCTTCCCATGCTTGCCATTGGTAACGAGGTAAAGGTCGTAGGTGAACTTCACAGATTTAGAAATTTTCTTAAGGATGTCGATACAGAACCCCTTGCAGCATTTTTTGATGTAACCTGGCTCCTCATCTGTTTTATTCCTAGCCAGTTAAAGAAACAAAAAATAAGAAAAAAGGCTTTGTACAAGAGGTAAAATATTACCCTTTGTCATTAAAACTCTAACCCTAAAGCAGGTTCCCTCCGCAGCTCAGCATAATTTATAGCAGACTTGAGTGGAGAAATAAATCAGACTACAGAACTGCAATATTCTCTTTATCTCATCACATTGAGCCATATTTTCTCACAATTTCTAATGCTCCTTTGAAGTAGAATATACATCAGGAAAGGGTATATATCCTAAGGGTTCAGTTGGATGAATTTGCACCCACTGAACTCACCCTTTTAACCAGCACCCAAATCCAGATACAGAAAAGCTACCACCATCGAAGAGGCCTCTTAGTCCCCCTTTTAGGCACTTCCCACCAAGGAGAACCATTATCCTGACCTTTAACAGCATAGATTAGTTTTATCTATTTCCAAAAATGGTTCTAAATCTAAAAATTTCAGGACATGCTGCCCTGAGAAAACATATTTCGATAACAAAAATTAACTTAAATCTCCATAAATTTGAGGTCCTGGTCATTGAGGCCACACAAGGCCAAAGGAACTTCAGTGTAGGAAGTTAGCAGTCATTTTCCCAGGTCATGATCTGGACAGAGCCAGACATCAGACCACAGGGCTTCCAGTAATTCCACAGCTCAATAGCAACTGGAAGTCAGACATGGTGCCCAATTCATTCTATGCTTCAGGTCCCAGACCAGCCAGGTGCATCAAGTCTGACTCTCCCATGCCACCCAGAGCCAATGGGGAGGATGCCATACTCAGTGATTATGCGCTTTTGGCAGGGGACTGTGTTCCTCATGCAGGTTCCACTCAGAGGGTCCACACTTTCCACAATGACGAATGGCGCCTCCTCCAGGGTCACAATGCTCAGGTGGTCGTCCTCCTGCTCTTCGGTCTCAGGACACATTCGGGGCCATACGTAATATTTCATCTGTAGGGATTTGTCTTTCCACTTTCCCACCTGCACAAGGATGAACACGTGACTCAGAAACCATGGCCACAACATAACAGCCTGTCTCAGCGTCACCTGAATCTGACCAGAAAGCTGTCAAACAAAGGCCAAAAGTGTAGGCATTGCACGTAACAGAGAGAGGAATACTTTTAAAACCACATGGCCAAAATGAGACTGTGTCCAAATCTAAGAAACGAGACACGTTCATTTGCTCACCCACTTACCAAATGTCACATGAGGACCCACTGTGTGTGCACCCTGCTAAACTCCAGGCCTCAAAGAAGCATCATTCTGCCCTCCATCAAGCTCACATCGAGTGACGGAGTCAGAAATGTCAACTAACATTTGCAGTGCTGTGTGGTAAGTGCGAAACTGAAGCTGTACGAAGTGCTGTGAGGATGCCCAAATTTTTCCTGTGTTATGTGAGGCTGTCGGTTTTTTCTACTTAACTGTAACAAGGAGCATGATGGTGAGAGCAGCAAATAGCTTTGGAAAGGTCAACAGAATGATGCGAGCAAATGAGCCAGAAGGATATGTTTGGGAGGTAACAGAGGCCCAGCGGGGAGCTGTGGGGAGAGCAAGGTAGATCTGAATCGGAATAAGATAGCAGGTTGGGATTAAACGATACTGACATGGTTTGTATGGGAAGGAAGCGTGGCTGTGCTGGAGACGAAGTCATGGGTCAACGCAGATGTGCACCTGTTAGGCTGGGTGGAAGCCCAGGAATGAATCAGATAGATCTCTCTCTGAGCTGCCACATATGGCCACACAGGCTCAGCGCCCCGACACCAGGGAGCACCATCCACATAGACTCCAACGTGAAAGATGGGTGTCCCTGAGCCACACACATGTGGCTTACTGCCAACCACCAGGAGAAATATGTGGGTTCCATTAGCTTTCAGAAGAGCCACCATTTGTTCCTATTTTTATAACAGAACCGATGTGACTTTGTTGGTGGGTTCTTGTTCTCTCTCTGCCATTGAGTTTAATGGAGGAAGAGAGAATACTTTTTAATTCTCTGTAACTGAGCATCTTCAATCATCCCAAGGCATTATGCATCGCAAGTTCCTGCATTTTCTCATCCTACAATTGCCTCCATGCAGCAATGCAAATTAGTAAAACAGGTGAGGCACCAGAACTACAAAACTACTTAATTTACTAACTGCAGAAATCAATAAGAAGCAACAAGTTGGCAGCACTTCATAAATTTTCAAGCAAATAAGCTTGGATTTCCACATTAATGCGAAATCTCAATTTTCTCCTTTCTTTGGTTCTTTGTCCAGTGGCTTGTTCAGACACTGCCATTGTGTTCCTGCATCACTCATCATTATAACATGGGCAGGGGTTTGGTGTCCTGGGCTATTCTGTTTGGCACCTATGCAGTCCTTCCTTGGCTGATGGTGGTTGGTTTTCTTCCAAGTGTATAAATGATATTTTGCTTCTTTGTTAGAATTATGCACTGAACCAAACATTTGCTTTCATTTATAGGTATAGTTTTCTTTGTACAGATTTTGGTGCAAGTTTTTCCTCTTATTGCTAAGACTACTTATCTGTAAAGCATAAATTTCCAAATGGCTTCCCAGCCATGTGGAGATATGAATGTCTCTGCCAGTGGCTGGGAGCAGGTGGGGCTTTGGAGAGTGGAGGCCCAGCCCTGGGCTCCCAGGCTGCTGGCTCACCTCCATCCCCAAGCAGGTGATTTACCCCAGTGGCCAAATTGCTAATATTTTCTGCATGTTCAGTAATGTGAAAAAGGTTGGGAAGCCCTAAAATTCCTATTTTTATTTATTTTTTTCACTCTTATCATCTTCCCTCAACAGTCTTTTCTGATTTTTTTTCTTTTAAATCCAAACTTACTCTCTTCTGTCTTTACTGCTACTAGCCTAGCCTAACGTAGTCTAGTAGCTCATTCTGAGATTACTGCAGGAAACGTCAAACCTCACATGAGATCCCCCCAGAGATCATTATGGACACTGCTGCAGATGGCTTTCTTAAAACACAACTTTGCCATATAATGCCAATTCAAAAATTTCAACAATCTCTCACGGCCCTCGGGATTGTGCCCAAACTTCTCCCCTAACTGCTAAAGGTCTGTACCTTAAGCCTAGCCTACCCTGATGCAGTTAACGTCACTATTTTGAATCATGAATCCTTTGTTCAACTTGGAAAAGGAAGTTGTTAGTATTAGGAACTAACATAGGTTAATTAGGAACAGACTGCAACAAACTAGCTCCCTTTTCTTTTCTATTTTATCTATGTAACAAATGCTGCAGACATAGCATTTTGGTAGAGTTTCTCATGATACTCTTCCAAACGAGATGAAATACAATATGGATTATTACATACTTTGATAGATTTGAAAGGAGTTTAAAATCTGTATCTAAAAAGAAAAAAATAAAGACTGTTTAATGAATCAATGCCAACATAGAAAGAGGTCTCTCTCTAGTGCCATGCCAGAGGACTCTGTTTTTAGAACAAAGTAGCCTATGTAATGTTTTAGAAAACAAAATAGAAGTCATGCTCACGAAATTTCAGATAACACAAAATGAGAGAGGATAGAAGATACATTGCGTTTCAGAATCAAGTTTAGAAGAGATATGAATTAGTTGGAATGATGGACCAAACCAAATGGAATGAAATTTAATAGTATTTATACTTACAGTCTAGCATTCAGATGTTTAAAAAGCAACTGCACAGTATTTAAAAGGAGATATTTCAATCAACAGCAGTCTACTAAAGCTATTGCAATAACAAATGATATATTTATAGACTTACGGCATCTAGCACATGGCATGAAGGGAGGTCGCCGATGATCCTACCCTGCACTGTGTTCATTATACCACAACTGGAAAACTGGGTTCTGACCCTGTAAGTCTATAATCTACAGTTTTTATTATTATACCATTCTGCATTTCCCCAATAATAGTTTTTCCATGCAGTTTCCCTCTAGCATACCCTTTCCCAACTTCCTACCAAACTAGCTGGATCATATCTTTGCTTCACATCAATTCCATCCAACCAACAATTGCACAGCAATTCCGTGCCAGGCACTGGGTTATGTGCTAGAGAGGAGAGTACCAGGTACATTTATTGAGGGTTTAGGTGTGCTAGGCACCAAACGTATCTAGGAATTTCATTAATCTTCACAGCAAGCCTGTGAGATAGAGACTCACATTTAATGAATCATTTTATAGATGCCTACAGAGGGGTTTGATGACTTTTCCAAGATGCCCCGTAAGGGAGCGCCGTGTCAGGACTGAAGCTGAGTAGTCTGACTCCAGAGTGTGGGCTCCTACCCACCACCCTGTACTGCTGATCTGACAACAGAGGGCTAAGACACAGTACCTGTCCTCCAAGGATAGTCTAGAGGGGAAAGACACCATCTTTTGACAATAATATCAAGTTCGGCTTTGGTAATTACACTAATAAAAGGCGTAAATAAAGTACTCTGGCATTCAGAGTAGAAGTGATTATTCCCGAAAGAGTCAGGGAAAAGCCTCGTAGAGACCCTTATCTTTGAGCTGGGCCTTGACATGTAAGTGATAGCTCATTAAGTGAAGAGTCCTTTATCCACCAAGGCAAGAGCAAGAGCAAAGGAACAGAGCAGAGGCACAGCTGCGGGCTGGCAAAGCCACGGCCAATGATGCACAGCTGCAAGGTCCGAGGTGTTGGGAGAAATGGCCCAGCTCAGTTCCCCTCCTTTCAGCCCCGCTCACTCCACCCAGATGATCTCTGTCGCTCTTGAGGGTCACTGCACTGCGCTCATCTCTTTCCAGCTCCTGGATCAAGGGCGTCGGGTTGGTATGGGCGCCATGAATTGACAAACACTACAAACTGGGGCTTCCTCTGCCCACTCCCAGCCCCAGTTGTTAACACTGACCAGCTCACCACTGTCCAGAATCACCAAATCATTATTTCATGCTTTGCTACATTCTTCAATGATTTTTTTTTTTAACTTTCAAAGTGACTTATATTCTAAACTAAATTCTAAACATGTCTCAGAGACTGAAATACTTAGGTGTGTCTGAGGCCATGGACAAATTTCTGAAACTCTCTGAGTCTCAGTGTCCACATCTGTAAAAATAAGTGAATGGATTTCTAAGGTCCCTTCCCCATAATTTCATGATCTCATGATCTCTTCAGGACAGGGCTGTCTACTACACTTCCTACAGAGCACAGCCCAAATGAAGACGGGTCTGTAGTGGTTCTTTCCTGGAGGGAGGGAAGTATCTTATTTGTTTCTACAAAAGATTAGCTCGTCTTTAAGTCATGATTCTTTTTTTCTATTTTTTCTTGCTTCTTCAGGATGATTTCAGTGAGAAGGAAAGTTAACAAATGCCTTGAGAATTGAAGGGAGGAACTTTTTTGAAAAGAAAATTTACTATGAATATCCGATTCCCAATGCCAATAAGCAGGTTCATGCTTAAAAAAAAAAAAAAAAACATGCTTAGGTAGTTACCTCAAATTCTTCATGGAGCAAGGCAGGTTAGAAATTAGTTAAAAAATAGAACTAAAATTAAATAAATAAGGAAAATATTTATGTAGAAGAACAAGGTATATTTCAGGTAATCTATCTTTCACATAAGAGGAAGTATGGTGAAAATATTATAAATGGAAGAGTTTGAAAGAGCAATGAAAAATAGTAAATAGAGAATGAGAAACCTGAGATTCTAACAGTAAAAATCTCCAGTGCTTGTCTAGGATGTCTGAAATGGTGTAAGTCTATAATCCTGGAAGTGCAGAGAGCAGTAGGAAATGAGGTTAGCAGGAGAAGTTACAGAGAAAATCCAGTGAGAAAAACTGAATGAAGAATTTATAGTCAAGATTAAAATATGATCAGGAAAAGATCTTAAGAAATAACAGAGAAAATGACTGCAAAGAATTCTGAATTCCTTTGAGAGGAATGCTAAACAAACACCATTACCACAAGCACATTTAATAATAACAACATCTGTCTATAAAAAATTCAGTTATCTGCCACACTAACATTTAAAAAGGTCTCTTGAGGA